GTTGTAGGACTCTGTTTTGCCTAACAATTTCACGTATCCTTCTCTTGTTAGAGCTCGTCGCATTGATAATTGGATTTTAGAAGGCAAGCAAATTCATGCCCATGTTCGTTGTAAAATTTGGGTTTTTAAATGATGGGTTTTCTCATAACAATTTGCTTTACATGTATGTGAGTTTTGGGTTTTTAGAGAAAGCTCATCGGGTTTTTGATAAGATGCGACAAAGCTCCGAAATGATGGATTCAAAATTTTTAATGATGGATTCAAAATTTTACTTTTACATCCGCCACTACTGTTGTATCTACAACTTTGAATTTCCCTCTATTGGTACAGTGCTCAAACAAAAAACATTACTTTATCTTATGAAACTGCTCCTTTTCTTGAGTTTTACTAATAACTTAACCACTTAGATAGGTGTAATAGACTAACCTTGGGGTGGGAGGGATACTATTGGCATCATAGTGTATTTCAGTTATAAGGCAGCTTGGGAAATAGGTCGAGGAGCTTACATTGAGGGAGGAAATTTGTGGACAATGAACCAGACTGATCGAACACCACCAGGCACAACTGTCATATTTCCAATTTGTGAGTGGTAGCTTCTTTTTACAAATTCCAACTGATCTTCTTCGACGAATTTATTAACTTTCCAAATTCCAAACCTAATATTCTTTGAGCAAAGTCAATTTAGAATGGTGCATGATTTAAATTGGTCCAACCTTCTGAAAACAATTTTGAGCCTTAATTTTCATTGGACTTGAAAAATGACATACATCTACATACTTTTATAAAGTTTAACTTTCATAAATGGGTTGTCCATACCCACTGTATATGATATGTACCATGAACAACATGCTTTAATTAATAAAGTAGAGCTAAAATAAACAAAGCTTGCTGCATTTTTTTTTCTGCTGTAATAACAACAGTATCACCATGGTTTTATCAGTAAAATTACCTTTTTATATATGTTTTTCTTTTCTAATGTGCTTCGTTATCTCGGCTCAAAGTTACAACAACATAACCTTGGGCTCATCCCTCATTGCTGGGGATATCTCTTAGCCTTGGGTATCTCCCTCCAAAGACTTTGCTTTCGGGTTTCAGAAGATAGAGTCTGGAAGTTTTCTGTTAGCCATATGGTTCAATAGAATACCCGAAAAGACCATAACTTGGTCTTCCAACAGAGAAATTCCAGTGCCCAGGGGTTCGAAAGTAGAACTTACTGCAAGAAGCTTGATACTTACTAACCCAAGTGGGCGCAAGGTATGGAGAGCTGGGCTGTTGGCTGGCAGCAGTAGCAGTAGCAGAGGAGTGACACTTGCCTCTGCAGCTATGCTCGACACTGGAAACTTCGTGCTGATGGATCGAGCTTCTGCTGTACTTTGGCAAAGCTTTGATGAGCCAACTGACACTCTTTTGCCTACCAGGCGCTGAATCAAGGCAACCGACTCATTGCAAGTTTTTTTTAGAAAAAATTACTCGAGTGGAAGGTTCTCATTCAACTTAGGATATAACGAAAATCTTGCATTATACACCACATATTTCCCCCTTTTCAACACACTGAACACCAACTATGAGACGTTCGCTGATCAGGGATTCGGAAGACTGGTGGTGTTTGATCAGTCTGGTTCACTGTACCTTGCTGCCTTATAACTAATTTGATGGTAACTAATTTGATGGGGTTTATGTTGTTTCATTGAATGGTTGACGTATCATTTGCTCTTTCATTTGAAGGATAATAATGCGGTTGTATCTATATATTCAAGTTTATATATATATATATATGTGAATTATATAAGTAGTAGTTTATAAGAATGTGCATATATATCTATATTCTTGGCCTCAATACTACTCCCTCCGTCCCAATTTACTTGCAACATTTTGACTGGACACGCTTGCCGATGCACATGTTTGACCGTTGATATTTTTTATTATAAATTTATATAAGTTATAAAAAGTTTATATTAAGAAACTATACATTAAAATAGACCCAACAACATCTTACATGATTACATTGACTTTCATATAATAGTTAAAAAAGATGGTCAAAGGGAGATGTGTGAATAGTGCAAAAAGTCAAACCGTTGCAAGTAATTTGGGACGAAGGGAGTAATTGTTAAAAACTCATGTGATACTTTTAATGATTTTCATGAATGCTTTATTTTTGGTTCTTTGATATTTGATGCTTTATCACATATATAGGATCAATAGTAACACTGACACATTTGCATATTTTGTAGCTGCTGATGTTTGGGGAGATCGATAGATACTACGGAGTACAAGATTAACTTAGATAAATGTTTTTTTTCAAGATTGAAAAGTTGGAGCTCTCTGCATTACTGCTGTTGCTGCTGTCAGTGTTACTGTTGTCACTATTTCTGCTGAATGCTGCTATCGTTTGCTGCTATCGCTATTTGTTGACCTGCTAGCTGGCTAGCTGTTGTTGCTGTCTACTGTTAATAATGTTGTGTGTTGTAACTACGTTGACTGCTATTTTGCTCTTTCTGTTTTTGAATTTGGTGGTCTAGAAACAAAGTCGGCTTTTCGTTTAGTTTGGTTATTTGATTGTATATGGATTTTTTTACAAGAAAATATGAAATTATATCAATTCAAATTATTGTCTATTGTAAATATTAATTTCACAATCATGGTTAATTGTTTTAAATTTTAATATTATATTTATACATTTTAAAAACCATTTTTTAAATAATAATAATAATAATAATAATTAGAAGAAGAAGAAGAAGTTTGCATAAAGTGTTATATAATGTCGAATAAAGTGCTACTATATATGTCAAAAGATGATTGAAAAATACTTAATAATCAACATTGTGTTCCATTAGTTCAAAAAGTGATACATAATGTCGGATAAATTGATACTATATGATGTTAAAATGTTACTAAAGATAAGTAAGTGTTACATAAAAAAATAAAAAGTAACACTTCAAAAATGATACTAGTAATATAAAAAGTGTTACATAAGAGGGTTTATAGTATCACTATTGAAAGTGGTACCATACATTACTCAAAGTGTTACAAAAGACCTTAGGGAACATGGGCGGAAGTATCACCCAATAAAGTGTTACCTATTGTCTATAATAACACTTTTACTACTTTATGTAACACTTTTTGGATGTTACCTAAGGTTAGTTTTGTACTAGTGGATGACTAGCTTTATGGTGGAAGTAGGATGTGTTCTTGTCCCCGTCCTTCAATTCATTTGCACGAGCACGTGCATGCCAGTAGGACTCCTCAAACCTATGTAACTCATCCAACTCAGAAAAAATCTCCCTGCATTTGTTTAGAATGATTGCATCAGCCACCTTTTTTTGCCACTCCCCCAACTCCTCTTCCTTCTCCTTGATATTCCGTTTAGTGTCACCAAAAGAGGACTCCGCCCAAGTAGATAAAGACATGCCACATTTAGCAATCCTCATACTCACCGCAAGCCCAGAACTACTTTCCCAGGAATTCTTCACAACCTCTTGGCATTCGGCTTTTGCAAGCCACATGGCCTCGAAATGAAATTTTTTCCCTCCTTTCCTCCGTCTTGTATTCCCATCAGTTTGGAGCAATATCGGGGCATGGTCAGATAAATACATGGGAAAATGTCGTACTAACGAATGTGGGAATAAGTTGCACCAATCATCACAAGCCATAAACCTATCAAGCCGCTCTCGAACAACACTTTGAGGATCATTTCCTCTCTGCCAAGTATAAACATTCCCCCTGTACCCCAAGTCATTCAATTGCACAAACCTCCAACGCATCCCAAAACAAGTCAATCTCTCTATCACTTCTTCTCACACCACCGTACTTCTCCTCTTCACTCAAAATCTCGTTAAAATCACTAAAATAGGGTAAAGGAACATGTATTGACTCCCTTAAAGATTTCATAAGCTCAAAGGTACGATACTTATTTTCTCTTTCCGGCCAACCATACATTCCTACAACTGCATAAACCGGCTCATTATTTGTATTTCTCACTTCCACTGCAACATGATGAAAGGAATAAGAAATCACATAGGCATTAACATTTCTCCACCACAAACCCAATCCACCAGAGTTCCCGTTACTACTCACACACAATCCCGCATCAAAACCACATCTATTGCGAATACTCTCCAATCTACCACTGTCAATCATAGACTCCATCACAAACACAAAAGTTGGGCATTCCCTCCAACACAACGATTGGAGTTTTTGAACTTTCCGGGGATTGCCCAACCCCCGGAAGTTCCAACTTAGCGTTTTCATTGCTGTTCGCGGGGTTGGATATCACCAACACCCGCTACTTTAGTCATGGTCAATGTGTGTGCCATACGATCTTATTATTGTCTTCATCATTCAAGTAATCACCCCCCACACTCTCCTTCCTTTTCCTGCCAACCCCTTCACCCCCCAACTGTCCAGTCCCCCCCCCCCCCTCATATTTTTTGAGTTTCACTCCTTTTTTAGCAAGCTTCTTCTTACCAGTCTCCCCTGCTTTGAACAAAAAGGAACAGCTTGCATCCCCACTAACAATTTGGTCCCCTCCACTAATCCCCTCACAATATCCCACCTCCATATCCTCTGTTTCAACAACACAACCATCACTCCTATGCTCTTCATTCAACTCAACATTGAGCTCACTGTCCTGTCTTCCTTCAAGACCCAACAAGTGGACTCCCTCCTCCCTTATAATCCCCACCCCTACCACCTGAGACCCCACCAGCTTCTCCTCTCTCATACACTCTTCACCTTCCCCCCCCCCCCCCCCCCACATTGGACACACTCTTTTTATTCACAAACAACACCCTCCTGTTCGCCTTAACTTCTTCCACCTCTTCAATTAACTTCTGACGACCCTTTCTAGGAGTTGCTCTTAGCTGTAAGCTCCATCTCAACCCCTGGTTCTGTTCTTCTTCAGAAATATTAAGGCAATCTTTCTCGCTATGCCCCATTACACCACACATAAGACAGAAGAACAACAATCGTTCATATTTAATGTCAATTCGAATCACCTTCCCTTATTTCCCTTTCATGTTCAAGAAACGTCGCAAAGGTTTTGTTACATCTAGGTTCAATTTCACTCTTCTGTATTTATCCAGTCCAAGGTCATCATCCTCCACTTCCATTAATTCACCCATAGACGCCGTCAAAGCAGCAACGACAACATTAGAGCGACGGTTGAAAGGGAGGTTTTCCAATCTAACCCAGAAAGGAGAGTGGGTCAATACCACCTCCGTCGGTTGCTCATCCCCCTTCACTTCTTTCAATAGCAGTAAATTATTTTCAAAACACCATTGGCGGCCCTCTAATACCTTCTTTCTATCTTTCCAATGAAAAAATTGGAAAGCAAACAAATTTGCCCCAATTACCCTAATTACCAGTCTTTTCGACACTGCCCAAGCATGAATCATAGTCCTCTTAAAAGCTTCCACATTAATCGTTCGATCGGAAATTAATTTCCCAACCAACATTAGGGATACTCGCGCTTCCGATTCACCGTCCTCCACATCCCCTAAATCAACAATTTCATTCTCCAGGTCATTGATTCGCAAGTTTGCACATTGATCAATTAGTTCGTCGGCCATATTGGCCGGATAATCGCCTTTCTTTCGAGGTAGTACGCTCCTTTCTCTCGAGGTAGGTTTCGCCCTTTCTTTCGAGGGAGTATTTTGTCGTTTTTATTTTGGATCGTCCAAACACAAAGATGAACTTTTATATATATTACAAAAATTACCATTTCCCTAACGAATAATTTACCCTTAAAAGTATTTATAATGTACTACGTAGTATATTGAATTAATCATATTAGCCTTAACAATATGTATCAAATTGAAATTACAGATTTAAACACAATTAAACTCATTATAAATTAAAAGTTAAAGGAATCAAAGTTACCATAAAAAGGGAGTTAAGCCTTATTTTTTCAATTATTCACCGTTTGGGTATTCACTTATTATCTTTCATCGTTGAGTAGGGTTTGATTATAATGATGTGTTTTGAATGAAAATCGGGGAAGACATTTACAATTACTAATTTTTCCATTATAACTAAGATTATTATTTGGTAGCAGTATTGATCAGGAACATTTTTTTGGAGGCATTGCTATAGTAAAATTTTTATTCGTGAGTAATTATAAAAAAGTTCATAGGAGTAAGTTTTCTCGGCTAAAACGGATAGTTATAAACATTTGTAATTGTTAAAAATTTGTGCCAAATGTAATGATTTCACTTGTTTTTTCTTTAAAAAACGGATAGTCTCGGCTTGTTTGGCACAGAAAAACTTTTATGAACCTGGTTCACAATAATATTATTGTGGACCTGAAGTTTTATATGTGCGTAACTGGCTTTGTATTGAACATAGTAACCCTTATATTAAATATAGTAACCTTAATTTTAATATAGTAACCTTTAATAAAATTTGTGTTATTTTTAATATTGTTGCAAACTTAAAGTATGATGTTATGATCCTAATTTTAACCTAGTGACCCATATTATTCATATTGACCGGTATTTTAAAATTTTCATTTAAAATTTTTTATCTCTTATGACCTTTATAAAATACAATTACTTTTATTTTAACATAATGACCATTATTTTAACATAGTGACCTTTTAATTAAAATAATAAAACGACCATAGTATCTCTATTATAACTGGTCCACAATAAATTAGTGTGAACTAAGTCTATTTAAGAGTTTGTATGTTTGACATTGTTTTTTGTTTTCAGTTTTCTTTTTTTTTTCAAAACAAAAAACCAAAAACGATAAAACAAGAAAAAAGGTGTTTTCATTTTTGTTGTCAGTTTTCAAAATTATCATAATATTAATAACTTTGACTAATTTTTTATTCATTATGTGACATATATCATATGATTTAGAAAAACAAAAAAAAAAAAAATCAAAAAACAGAAAACCACAACAATGTCAAACGAACCCTTAAAGATGAAAAAAATGAAGAAAATAGACGCTTTTGTCGGCTTAACTCTAAAATTTGTTTTAGTTATCTCAAATTGTCTCCATCTCATCATATAATTAGTATAAGCCAGCCTTATACAAGACTTATCGTTTTTCCTAGACTTTATACATTTTAAGAAAATAGGCCCTTTTGTCGGCTTGACTCTAAAATTTGTTATAGTTATCTCAAATTGTCTCCATCTCATCATATAAGTAGTATAAGCCCGCCTTATACAAGACTTATCGTTTTTTTAGACTAGCTATATTATATACAATCAACCTTAATAAATAATTACTCTAAACCTTATTATCTTAATCTAGAAAAATAAGTATAGATAATTGTCTAGATCAAAATAGATTAAGTGTTTTTTTTTTAAAAAAAAAAAAAGAATTATGATAGAGCTCTTACAAATTATGTAATACGAGTATGAAAAAGTGTTTTAGACAAATTAGAGTAGTAAATCATTGTATTTGACTTTGAGGTTTAAACTTTATAATCTAAACGTGTTTTTTCACAATATTAATTAAAGGTTTTAGACAAACTATTGTGTATACATATTTTCAATTTTGTATTATAAAGTGTATATAAAAATCAATCGAAACAACTTTTAGGTTGAATATTTCCAAAAGTTGATCCCTCACAATTGTTACATAAAGAAGCTTGCTTGTTTTTGTGAATCAAATTTATATTCTTCAATTTTATGCCCGAACAACGATGTTTTAGGGTGCAATCAAATTTCACAGCAATTGATGTTCACTACTGTTTGGGTCCAATTTAGTCCAAATTGGGCCTAAGCACTAAATGATCCAATTAAAAGCCCAAGGTCAAGGTTCAACTCTCCAATTGTGCTAAAGTCAAAGGTCAGCCCACAAAGCAAGCCAATTGGGCTAAGGCCCAACCTCTCCATATATGATGAGGTATAAAAGCCATCATATATACACATTCATACATATATATACATATTCATATTCTGATTGAGGGGCTCATTCATATATTCTGATATATTCCATAAAAGCCTAAAGCTACAAACTCTCTTGCATAGTGTCTTCTTCTTGCACATTGTACTGACTTTAGCATCGGAGGGGCCTTCCTCGGCAACACCCCCGAGGCTAGTTTACGTGTGTTTACTGTGCAGGAAACCTTCGGCCCAACATAACTTGGACCGAATCCAGTCTTCTCCATCTCAGCGGACCTTCGGCAAGGTCCCATTGTTTTCACCCGAAACAATTTGGCGCCGTCTGTGGGGAAGACTTTCAAAAATCTTTAAGCCAAATTCCTAACCAAGATCATCTTGCAATTATCTTAGCAGCCATGGCTAAGAACCGCAAGAGCAAAAGCCTCCGTCAAGGAGCGGGCGAAAAGCCTAAAACCTCTACACCATCGCCCTCGCCGGACCGGAACTCTCCCAAGGGTGCCGGCTCGGGGGGAGGATCATACAAGGAGGATTCCCTATCTCCCGTAATTCATGACTCTCAATATAGGCCGGACCACTCTCGGTCTAGCAGGGGTCAGTCTGATCATAGGACATATTCAGTGTCCCAAAGCCAACCATCGGCTGCGCGGCCTCATTCCCACACTCGGCCGAGGACCCCTTTGACGGGGCCCAGTTCGGAAGAGGTGGCAAGAGCGCTGGCAGTACTCATGGAGGCAATGAGGGCACAAAATATGCCACCGCCTCGTGATCGAACTCCTCCGCATACCCGGCATCAGCGGAGGAAGTTAGACCATGACGGTGGGAAGCTTCCTTCCTTCCGGGAACTGGAAGAGTGGGAGGAGGATTCTTGGAAAAATGAAAAACAGAGGAAAAAGAACCCTCAATTATTAAAAGGATCCTCATCCTCAAGACCAGAAGCGCATAAGAGCAGCAGCTCAGCTTCTCGGCCAGAATCTACTCACCGAGAACCTGAGACTGTTCGCAGAAGCGTCCTTGACCGACTCGGCGGCCAGGAACCGAGCGTGCGTAGTCGCCTCTCGTTCCCTGCAGCCGAGGCCCAGACTTCCCAGCCAGGGACGAAAACCACTCCTACCTCTCTAAGAGGGCGGAGCGCGGTCCCTTCGGCCAGGAACAAGGGCAAGGCCGTTATGCTACCCGCTAGTTCACCATTCGAGCAATGGATACTGGAAGAGCGCGTACCCACGGTTAAAATACCGTCGCATATCACATATGACGGGACCACGGATCCGAAGGACCACGTGGCCTCGTATGAGACTCATATGCATCTTTGCCCCAGATCCGAGGCGACTTGGTGCAAATATTTCCCAACCACTCTCAAGGGGGTCGCGCAAGCGTGGATCTCCAAGGGAGTAAGGCAAGGCTCCATAACAGGTTGGGATGATCTGTCCTCCAAGTTCAGGAGCAAGTTTTCCACGGCAAACCGCCGAGAGAAGACTACCGCAGAGCTCATGAGTCTGCAACAGGGGGAAACCGAAAGCCTCCGAGACTACCTGACCCGTTTCAGTAACGAGTCATCAAGCGTCTCCCAGCTGGACCAGGGGTTAGCCGTTTTTGCAATGCAGAATGGCCTTCAGCCAGGAAAGTTCCTAGACTTCATGGTCATGCATACCCCGCAGACCTTGGAGGAAGCTCTTAGTGCTTCGGATAAGTTCATCCGAGCCGAAGAATGGAATAAAGCAAAAACCCAACCTCAATCCGGGGGAGGGAAACAGAGGCAAATACCCTTGTCTGAAGGCCAAGGCCATAAGGCAAAGGGAAAATCAAAGGCCCCGGAGCAATCTTTGGCCAACGACCCAAAGAAGGACAGATTTGCCTCATACACAGGCAGATACGAGTCCTACACTCCGCTCTCTCTTCCACGCGCCAAAATTTACAGTGTGACGAAGGAAGAGCAGAGTTACCGAAAGCCGCGACCACTCCCAGAGTGGTATCAGCGAAAAAATAAAAATCAGTGGTGTGAGTTCGACGAGTCTTCGGGCCACAACACTGAGGAGTGTATCCAACTGAAGGACCAGATAGAGGACATGGTCCGGAAGGGATACTTGAAAAAATACATCGCGGATCACCGCGAGAAAAAAGAATCCGAGAGGTCAGCAAAGGACCCTCGGCAGGACCTTGATTTCCCCCGGAAAAACAGTAAAAAGCCGGAGGGGAAATTCCCTTCGATCAATGTTATCTCGGGAGGAATATACTCGCGGAGGGAGCACAAGCGCCACCTTAGAGCTTTGACTCACCAGGTGAACAACGCTGACATTCAATCTCCCCAGTCGCCGGTGCCGAACATGACGTTCACAGCCGCCGACTGCCGGGGGATTACGTTCCCTCACGAGGATCCGTTGGTGATCATCGCCACGGTGGCCAACCACGACGTCAGTAAGGTCCTTGTTGACGGTGGCAGTGGAGCAAACATTCTGTTCCGAAAGGCCTACAATCAAATTAAGCTGAAGCCCAAGCACCTTACGCCGGTACCCTATCCGGTATCCGGGTTCAATGGGGCTTCAACTTATCCAGATGGGAAGGTGACACTTCCTGTCACCATCGGTTGCGATGAGGCAGCCCGGAACGTCATGATTGAATTTTTGGTCATCGACGCTCCTTCAGTGTACAACGTGATTTTGGGGAGACCCATAATTCACGAGATCCAAGGGGTCGTCTCAACTTATCATCAGCTGATGATT